GAACTTAATTCCATGCCTCTTGAACCATGCATTAGTAAATTATTGTGTTTATAATGAACACAACGTACCTTTTAAAACTTATCGGGTAGTTATTTAACTATTGTGGCATGTGTGGCATGTGTCCTCGATAAATGTATTTTTGAAGTCAGACTGCGAACTCCTTTAACGTCTTACCTGTGCTGTTTGTTCATCGCCTGGATTTTCACCAAGCTTTAAATTTTCTGAGGAAGACTCTGAGGTTTTCAGTCTTTTAGGGCTCAAGGAAATGTCAGACCCTCTTGGAACAGAATCTTGCGGGAACCTGAAAGGTCTGGAAGATGGAGGGTCGCATTCAACTGCAGCCATTCCCGTGTTCGCGAATTCTCCACACACTTCACCCCCAAAGCAACCAAAGATATTCTGCGTTTTCCTTTGACACGGGGAACAAGAGCATAACAACATTAGCGGAAAAGCTTTGGCTTTGGTTTTGTTTCAGTTATAAGACGATTGGTTCTTTCTTATCTCTAGTTATGATAGTAGGAAGCAAATTCGCCATACTACCAAACCCAAACACTGATGTAAGCTACGAATCAGTCTGACGATAAAGGGCAGAACACTTAAGGCCTGGAAATTGATTATGGCGAAAAATTCTGTTTTAAGGACCGTGGAATACTCATTTCTCAAAAATACCAAGAGCGACAAAAATTGACTCGAGAAATCGGGAGTACGATATATCGAGAGTAAAATTAAATTGAAAAAAAATTCAAAAGAAAAAACCTTTTGATTCGAGACGTTGGAAGGGTCGAGAAATTTAGATTTCACTGCACGGTTAACAACGGCTGTTTCCAAACATTTAATACGTAACAGCAATACACGCTAAATAACAAAAGAACAATTCAGCAGTTTTCACCTGCACTTTTTGCTTGTTTATCAGCAAAAATTCTACCAAGCTTTAAATTTTCTGGGAAATATTCTAAAGTTTGCGGTCTTTTTCGAGCTCGAGGGTAAATTTGAGAGCAATTACAATCCCAAAGATCTCCTGAAGAATGGGGATGCGGCCATTCCTGTGTTCCATCCAAAGCAACCAAAGAGAGCATTTCGACGATAAGACGTGTTCAATAAGAATTACAATAGCATCTATCGAGTTATAAGATCTCTTTAAAAGGAAGCGATATGTAGTTGTTGTGTTTTCGCTTTGTTATTTTGGTGACAGAGGGTCTGTGGGATAGCGACGCCTTTTGTCTCTCGTTCACCTGCTACTAAAGGATAGGCGTCGTGTAACAACCTTGGTAAAGTCAGGATCGCAACGCTCATTCCTTTTGAGCTGTTTCTTAATTTCAAAGTTTGAAGACAATTTTCTTACTTTATCCTCTGCGCTTTGATCTAACGGAGACTGCAAAGCGTTCATGATAAAAAGTCAAAAGATAAAAAGCTCGTAACAGCCAATGTATCAAATGGATGAGGATGTTAGACAGATTGCAAGAAGAAGCCACATATTGAGAGGAAGAGTGGAGAGAGATGTACATGAGGTGTGCCGAATTTTAACGGAGCTTGACGAGGAATTATGCAAGCCCAGAAATAGTAAAGATCTGCCGGAGTCTTTGAAGGCCTCACTAAGAAAACATTTGATAGACATCTACTGGAGTTTAAAATTACACCTGTTTTTTCACCTCGGTAAATCTAACGCTGATCCAAGGCTCCAAAATGTGGGCCGCTTGCATATGGTCGCCCTAACAGATGAGGAGATGAGTAAACTTCCAGACCAAAGCCACGCAACTGACCCTGGTAGCAAACTCATAGAAATTGTAAGTATGGGCACTGCAGACGTTAAGCAAGACAGCTTGCTGAGTTTGTAATTTGAAATTTATGTGATGAAAAGTGACAAGATCATCCTTTGAGTCTTGATTTTAATTGAGTAGCAGAAAATATCCATACCTCCTCCACGGAGGGGATTTTTCTAAGAACCCCCCCTCACTCTCCTCCTCTCCTCCCCACTGGATATTCCAATTATGCTTCATACATTCTTTCGATTTTTTTGGTCTTACAAAACCCTCCCACCCCAAGGAAATTCCAATCCTTTCTGTGGGGAGGAGGGGTTGGGTTGTATGGATAATTTCTGGAACTGCACATTTTCCTCTTCCTGTAATTTGTCAAAATCATACAAACGAAACTTCATTGAATAATTTTGATTTTGAACTTGAAAGGACAAGTCTAAATGAGTCCAACTATCCGTGGTTTAAATGAAATTTTAAATTAACTGTCCTTGCAGAAATTAACTGTGCCTTTCGTAAGTGAATAATCTAATTTAAGTTGAAGAAATTCACTGTTTAATAACAGGCTTAAGTGACAATTTCGTCTCATTTCCGTCTTTTAGTTTAGTGCCTTAGCAGTAAATTCTGAAGAACGAGACAGGGACCATGCTGAAGATGTTATGGTCATAGCTATAGACCATTTCAAGCTCCTTAGCAGCAAAAACATCTTCAAGCCTAAGGTTTTGGCGAAAGTTTCACACAAACACACCAAGCGGGAGATATTTGAAAATGCAGCAATCGCCGGCAGCAGAAACGCTAGTCCAGTCAGGGGCGCAGCCAGCCATTTTTTCCAAATTGTCCAGCGAAGTCGCATATCGAATTTTGCCAACGTCCAAAAAAAACAACAGCAACAACAACAACAACAGTCAACCAAATTTTCGTGCCAAAATAACTTCAAAGTTCTGCTTTGTTAATAATCTTTCACCATTTCTTTCATGTATAAGATTGAAAGTAATTATTTTGTTTTTCAAAATAAAATGTTAATATAGCGCTGATTCGCCATTGAATAGTAAAAAAGGAAAATATGGCCTTCCGGCTACTTACAAAAATTATTTACAGAAATTCTTGTTAAGCCCCTGCTTAATGGCTTACGCTCCTGTCAGTCCCTGAATTTTCCCTTTCCCGCGTGCTATATGGGGGTTCAACCCAGGTGCAAGAAAAAAGAGAGTCCAGGATATTTTGCATGTGCATGTTCAGTACGAGCCAATCAGAGTGTTGTGTTGAAGNACAATGATGTTTAAATCATTAGCGGGATTCATCCCGACTTCGGAACAAGGAGGAAGTGGCACATTCTTGGGTGCATGTGCAGAGTATTGTCCCGTTGACCAGCTTCTTGCAGATGAGGCTTTGTCAGACGAAGAAAACAAACGGATAAATGATAAGTTACTGCGTTACAGGGAACAGTGCACTGTATTATATCGAAACTTCCCAGATATTGAAAACAGATGCAATGAGATCGAGGCTATAAAAGAGAATCAAAGAGAACTGAGAAATATGAAATCTAAAGTTGCAGATTTGAGTAAGGAAATAAGAGATAAGGTCCACATTTTTGGTATAAAACCAGAATGTAACATGTATTTTGGTGGCAGTAACTAGAGTCATTAATCAAGGCCCGTCCTTGATACCCCGGAGACATTTGAAAACGGTGTTTTCACTTTGAAAACACATCATATGTTCTATCCACACCAAGCGGGAGATATTTGAAAATGCAGCAATCGCCGGCAGCAGAAACGCTAGTCCAGTCAGGGGCGTAGCCAGCCATTTTTTCCATTTAAGCCCAAATTGTCCAGCGAAGTCGCATATCGAATTTTGCCAACGTCCGAAAAAAACAACAGCAACAACAACAACAACAGTCAACTAAATTTTCGTGCCAAAATAACTTCAAAGTTCTGCTTTGTTAATAATCTTTCAGCATTTTTTTCATGTATAAGATTGAAAGTAATTATTTTGTTTTTCAAAATAGAATGTTAATATAGCGGTGATTCGCTATCGAATAGTAAAAAAGGAAAATATGGCCTTCCGGCTACTTAAAAAAATTATCTACAGAAATTCTTGTTAAGCCCCTGCTTAATGGCTTACGCTCCTGTCAGTCGCTGAATTTTCCCTTTCCCGCGTGCTATATGGGGGTTCAACCCAGGTGCAAGAAAAAAGAGAGTCCAGGATATTTTGCATGTGCATGTTCAGTACGAGCCAATCAGAGTGTTGTGTTGAAGCGCGTGCTAGCATATAAATGTCTTGTTCAAATGACCAATTCAACACGTTCCACTACGCGACCAGGCGCACGACTAAAATGCAAGAAACATTGTCGCATATTGCGTCCAAATCTACTTTTAATGATCACGTACTAAGATCGGGAAAGCCGGAATGTCGGAGACACTCTTAAGAATTTCACCCTAATCACGCAGGACAAACCGATAACAAATAAAATAATATGTAATGTCAATTGCTAACTTTAGACGGCATAATTTGCAAGTGATACAGATAACTAGTTCCAACCTCGTTCTTAGGGTCTCTCATCTTACCGCCCCCTGGAGTGAGCGAAGAGGGGGCGGTAAGATGAGAGACCCTGGGAGCGAGGTTGAACTAGTTCTTCATCGTGAATTACGCGCTATGCACTAGATAACAGCTAACGATTAATATCTGTTTTGGTCGTTAGTCAGTTAGTAAACAAAGGCTACATTTTTTAAGGTTGTCCTGTGTTCCTGCTTGTAATTAAATAGACAGCCACTGGGCATGCGCGCGCTTCCACATGTTCTGCGATATATGGTTTTTCCCCTGGTTTGGGCGGGGGTGGGCAATTCCGCCATTCTCAGCATGCGCATGCAAGCTACTCTGGACTCTCTTCTCGTGCCTAGGTTCAAACCGTAAATAGCGCGCGGAAAAGGAAGGATTCAGGGACTGGACCAAAGAAATGCTTGAGTGAACCCTTAAGGAAGATCATCGTGAGGTCATCGTTTTCGAAAAGCTCCGTTTTCAAAATGTTTTCCCTCCGCAATAAAACGCAAAGCCGGCGTTTTCAATTCCTCCAGTTTGAAGAGCTCGAACAGTTCTGTTTTCAGTGAACAATTTCTCGAAATTAGTGCAGACGATAGGGCTAACTGTAGAAATGAAAATCCGTTTTGATCTGATTTTGATTTGATTGGATATTTGACTTTAAAATCAAAGCCAAGTTAACATCAATGGATGTTACCTGTTTCGCACCTAATCGAGTTTGCGTCCACCGAGCGGTTCGCACCCCTGTACTCATTATAAACTTCCTATTTCGAGCTCGCCTTAACCTTCAGTGGATTAAAGAACGAGAAATAAACATGTTGTGTGTGATTATGTTTCATTATGCCAACGTGTTGTCTTTTTTGCTAGGTAAGAGAGAGAGATATTTCAAGCACCTGATCGCTAGTTGATGTGGGGCGCGAACTCGCTCAGGTGCGAAACTCCAGCTACTATATCAATTTCTTTACATGATCCACGATGATTGAGAAATTGACCCCGGCCACTTAAAAAGTTCTCGTATCGTCACTAGTACAAATTATTGACTTAGATAAAATTAATTATAATTGTATCTAGTTTTCTTATTTTATTTCTTATAACTTCAGAAGGAGGATAGATAAGTAAAAGTAGATACTATTTCTTCCTGTAGAAAGAACATGGACTATCCCCTGTCATTAAAAGTCAATTCACGCAATCCGAGTTATTGTCTAACAGGTTTTTTAACTCATGGATAGGCAAAGTTGAACATGCTTAACCTATTTTTTCGGCCGCAAACATTACTAGACGCGGCTCGGGAAAGGAGCCCGCGCTCCTCTCCTGAAGGTACCGCTGGACACGTGACGATTCTTTTTTTAGTCTTAGCCCGTCAGATAACCGCCGGCATAAATTATCTCCTCATATCAATGGCGGACGATGTGGAGTTGATGAAAGTGACATGCGAGAGAACTTAAGAGACGTTTAAGACCGAAAGTGTAAGCCTCCAGAGGCCAAAGCTGAACCAAGACAAAAGTTGCGTTAGGCAAAAATATGGGTTCTGTCAGAGGTCTGATATCACTAATAGACCTTTTCGGCATTCCACTTCAGTGTGTGTGAACCTGATAGTACCAGAGCGAGGTTGGGGTGGACATTTTCATACATTTGCAGGGAGCATACAATCCACTTTAGACTGAATAAAGAATAGTTTATCTGCAAATCTTTGTCTCCCGCTATTGTCATCTCTTACGATCTCTTTTAGGGAAAACCGCTGCCCACATGTCCAGCAAACTAGAACCTAGGCCTCCAGGATCGCGCTTTACAAAAGTTTTTTTGTCTGGCAAGGGAGGCAACTCTGCTACACCCAAACATTTTCAACGCAATGCCATAACTCTCGCGAATCTCTAAATTGCTTCGCTCCCAGGAAACCAGGCAAACAAAACGACGACGAAAGATTTTTTGACAACTTTGTCGAATCAGTTGGTGTCGAATACTTTCACGACAGTCCGAGAATTTTAGCGCCTTTCGCATCGCATTTATGATCGTACCGTTACCCTTGGCCGATACAAATGTTATTGCAGAATCTCAAACTTCCGACTTATATTAACTTGCGGTATTTTGTTTCCTGCGGAGATCGGGCGACGTCGGATGTACAACAAATGCTACGAGCTGTCAGCCCGGTTTTTCCGGCTCTTTTTTCACGCGCGAGAAAATCGAAAATACCCTGAATACCGGATGCTCTCGCTTGCCAACAAGCTGGAGGAGGGTTTTATCAAGATAAGCTGCGTCAAAAATGAAAAACGTGTGAAAGAGGGAGGGGAGCGCGAGCACAAACAAAGTTTTACAAGGGGTTTAAAATCAACACCTTACCTTTTAGTATACCAGTGAGACAGAAAAGGTATCCTTTACGTATACTAGTAATACCTTTCATTGAAATGAGGTACCCTTTCGCATACCTGTTTAACAACACAGCATCCCTTCTCTAAACTCTTGGAACTGAAGTTAATGAACAAGCTACGGGAGAACATCAAGCATAACAAAATACAGCCACAAGGCGTGTCTGTTCTAAATATTCTAATTAAAGGCGCTTTTAAATACCTAAATAACAGATTTCCCTACCCCTTCATATACCTCAATTTGTGAAATCTCTACCCTTTTATATACTTGAAACCTGAACAAGGGACCCCTTTTGGGCGGAGCCTCGCTGCATAGGCCATAACAAGGAGTACCTTCTGGGCGCGGGAGGTATCGGCGAAGGGTAACGGCACTAACGGCCACTGGTTCGAGTGAAAAGAGATATAAAGGAAAGACAAGACAGGCAAATCTTATGTTTTGATAGAATATGTGTACAATAATTGTCGGAATTCGGTTTCAAAAAAAAAGAAGATCAAGGTGACTCTCTTACCTTGATCTTCTCTTGGTTCTTTCGAGGAAGACGTGTGAGTGATTCTGCAGTGTGACGCCCAAGAACAGAAGGAAAACAAGCCATACCGCAGCCTTTTAATATTTTCAATCAAACTGAAAAACATGTCTACTGATTGTTCCGATGACGGAATAAGCTCCGAGGAAGGTTTTTTCCTGAAGATGCTGCAGATGACAGCAGACGGATAGCCATACGCGTGTACGGCGTTGGTAACAGAATTGATCTCACATGATTTCCCTTCTGTACGTGTTGAGCTAAGCGGATTAGAAACACGATTTATCTCAAGGGTACATGGAGTACTGATGTTGTCTCTTTTCGTGATTGTAATTGAAACAGGATGTTACTAAGACAAGTAGGGGGATTGGGAACTTACATAAAGAATCATATGCATGGAGTCGACAAGTTAAAATTGTTGTGTCCAATTCTGATACGGATTTTCTTAAGTTCTTGATGATATGATAAAGCTGTCATTGACATAACGTTTCCAGCCTTCAGGAGGAACTATTACAGATGTTATTACTGATTCTTCAACAACGTCGATACAGAGGTTAGGGACGATTGGAAAGGCAGGGCCACCCACTATATCGAACTGATTTCCATCTCCCTTGGCCCAAAGTCAACCCCATTTATTTCGAACTCCATATTGGTAGGGTTGAAAAATAACTGACGTGAGACCATGTTGGAACTTAGCAGGAAAATTACAGTTTGGTCTTTACATAGCACTTTAATGTGCCTTTCAATAAAATGCGGACTCCAGAATTCAAAGCTCAACCGACAAATGCGTTTTTTGCTACCGGCAATCAAATGTTCGGCGGCTCCTCCTAACTCCCGACTACTGCCAGTAGCATGAGATGTTCCAAGTTAGCCGATCTGGACCTCTCTTTTTTAATTTATTCAAAACGGCCGCCAATTAAAGTTCGAGAAATGATGACGTTACTAGCTAAAGGCGTTCGAGTAGGAGCTCGGAGGGGTCTAAGGCGGCTAATCGAGTGGGAGGTCGGAGAGGACAAGTAAGAGGGAGGGGTCTGGTGACGAAGTCGGGGGCACCGGTTCCAGGCGCGCTCGAGTGGGAGGTCGGACCCGCTTCGAAGAGGCCGGCCACCCTCTCGGAGCACCCCCTCTGGCCACCCCCTGCTCGGGGGTGGGTTGACGTCGTGGCCGGGGGCAAACCATTTGGCTATTTACAAGCGTGGCCGAGGATTTGAACCCGGGACTACCGAGAAACAAACGGCCAGGTAGTGATCTGAGTGGGGGTGCTTACCATTTAGCAAAAAAATCCGGAAATTTTGGTTGAAAGTCAAATGGAACAGTAATTTTCCGGAAAATCCGTTCGGAAATTGTAGACTATCTTCAGAAGTAGTCCTCTTAAGGACGGTGCCTACTTTTGTTAGTGCGCACATGTTCTGCGCATCACGCGAGACATGCTTTATGCGCCACGCGCGCGCTGGGTTGACATTGACGCAATCGACTACGCTACCAAGTACACGACTAAAATGAAAGCAAAATT